GTTACGGCGGTTGGGGGGATCGAGAAGAAGATAGCCTGAACTTTACTGACTATATACACACAACCTTGAAAGATTAGAATGCTGGAATGGGAGGAGGGTCCCCCAACAAGAAGATTCTTGATGCTTCGAGGTTTGGGCTTAGGGTTTATGGCACTCGCCGCATAACCCCTATAGCTAAACCAATACATCCCCCGGCCCCAAGAACCCCCAAACTTCAGGCAATCCAGTGACTCCAACACTTCTCCAGTGAGGGGTATACCTTCAATCTTGCTAGGGTTCCTATGAACATTATTGATGCCTAAACCCTAAACCCTAAACCCTAAACCCAAACCTCTGGACTGAAGGCAAAATGTTGGAACATGCAGGCCTTCCTTTCTCTGTAGGGTTTAGGGTTTAGGGTTTAGGGTTTAGGGGTTTGGCGTGGGCGATAGCCCTACACCACAAACCCTAAACCCTAACAGCCCTAAGACTTACAGTAGAAGCCAGAAAGTTGGAATATCATTATCGTAACCCCTTTGAACTAAATTATAGGGGACCCTACCATTAATCCATATTCCAACTTTCTGGAGTTCCCTTTAAACCCGAAGGCGATACCCTAAACCTGAATCCACATCCCAAACCCGACATCCTTGAACCCCATCCTGATCCTGAGGCGCGAATATACAGCTCTCACAACCATAAATATGTGTGTGTGTATATATATATATATTACCGTACACCCATCCCTAAATGCGTAAGCCTGTGCATCTTTGCTTTAAAGCCTAATTATTGACAGTCGTGGGCCAAAGCCCAACCTCCCTGAACAAGGTTGAAGGCTTATGTTTAGGGTTTCGGAGTTTAGGGGTTTAAGGTTTAGGGTTCAGGGTTTTTGTTTTAGGGCGGGTGTAGGGTTTGCCCACGAGGGCGTCGTTAGCCCAGGAATGTCAGGCCTCAGCATACTAAAGTTACTTGGAGGATCATGGGATTTGGTAAGTATGATTATACGTACCTTACGTGGGGTTATAAGTACTTTTAAGTATAGCTACCTTAGTAATAACCCTAGTTACTAAGTCCCATGATCCTTTAAGTACGAATTGTCTCACGACCTGCGTGGCAAGGGCCAAACTAATGCTCTTCGACCAGGGAGCTTGGTCTTTAGGGTTCAGGCCAACTGGCTTCTTTACGGTTTACTTCCCCAGAGGGTCCACATACACTACTATTATGGAATTAGGTTCCCCAAACCCATAATTCCATAATAGAAGTGTACATGGACCCTCTGGGTTCGTCTTCATTGCATTCTTGCTGGCAGTATGACTACGAGTGTTGCACCGTGCTATTCTGCGTGTTCGGCAGCGTTCACGGCTTAGTCGGGGCTTGGTAGCTCGAAGGGGGCAAATCCAAGAAACCGACAACGTCGTTTCCCAAAATGTTATGGGATTCAAAGCCTGGGCCGGTATATTACCAAGAACCTAAACCCTTGAACCCTAAAACCCTAAATCCTTCAAGAGCGGAGCACTAAATCCTTAAGCCCTGAACTCTCAACGAAAACCCCCGAATATATCTCCCAAGCTGAGGTCGGATCCATGGTGGGGCAGTAGCCACCTCCGTTTACCATCCTTGCCGCAAGCAAGACTGGGAGTTCTCTTGCGATAAAATTTGTAGTTCTGTAAATTAGGGGTCCCTTTCTGGGGTTCCTTAAAGGGATCTGTAAGGGCTTCTTCAGGGTTTCCGTAAGGGTACCATGCGGGTAGTTCTCCAAAGTAGGCTTTATAGGTCCCCAAAATAGTACAGCACCCTTGTTGACAGCGACCCTAATGTAGAGAGCTACCCATGTGCGGGGCCTTCATACTTAGAATAGGGATGAATACCATCTTGGACGACATCAGGCTATACAAAAAAACCTATGGAACATTGCTACCACGGAACAAGAGTGGGGTTCCTGTTACGGGGATATAGAGGCCTGAATATGTGGAACAGGGTTGGGGGGGGCATATTTATTCTACTTTGAGTGTAACGAGGAAGCCTTAGGAACAGTATTGCTACGGTTGATGATATAAATCCTGCATCACCCATAAGAAGATATGTACCATGATTCCCATAGTTTAGGGTCATTAAGGTAATGCAGGATTCATATCATCACCCTAAACCCTAACCCCTATAGATCCCCTAAAGGAGTCCCTTTACAAGAAACCCTAGGGATGTATATCATCAACAGTAGAACAAACCCTTATCGACTTCTAGATCCCTTAAAGGAAGCCCTTAAAGGTACCCCCATACATCCCTAAGGAACAGTATTGCTAGAACAGTATTTCTAGGTTTCTGTCGTTCGGTCTAGGGTTTCGGGAGGGTCCTATGCGGGTTTCTTTAGGGGCTCTGTGAAGTTCCTACGCTCGGATCTTGGGGTTAGACTTCTTCAGGATTTAGGGGTTTAGGCTTTAGGGGTTGAGGGTTTAGGGCTTTGAGAAGTAACTTGAGGTTTTTGGGATGGGATTGGCCCTTTTGATGGGGTTTCGCTGCTTGTGGGCTTTCAGTTTAGGGTTTGAGATTTGTTTGTTAGAGCCCTGAAAGCAGACTTCATGTTTACTACTTTCTTGGCGGTGGGTTACGGGCTCTATTCCGGATGCCCTAAACCCCTAACCCTGACCCCTGCTGAAGGGTATCATCCGCAACACATGCTTTGATATCTTTATAGTCCCTATACAACTATACCACGAGGCGACTGTATCTGTCTATCGTGCTTTGGCGTCAGCTTGTCGACAAAGCCAAGCATCTGAGCAACTTGCGGCACTTGCTGCTGCATCTGCTGCGGAAGCCTCGGCTGTCATGCCTGTAACCAAACATGTTTAGGGTTTGAGCTTGAGGATTCAGAGGTTTAGCAGGGGGTAAGGGCTCTTGTCAAGTGGCTGAACTTCATGCACTTTGCGGAATAAGTGTTTTGGCACCCTATCCCTCAACCCTCGAAAAGGTCCCCAGAATCCGAAACCCCAAAACCCTAAACCCTAAAACACCTAAAACCTAAACCGCAGCACCATTACTACGGATATGAGCCAGGTCCTGCGACTTTGGGAATGAGCCAAATTGTGAAACTCCCGGCGTAGCTTCCCATAAAACTCTATACATAGTAGGGTTCTGCAGTATGTAAGGTTTAGGGTTTAGGGTTCCACTGTAGGGTTTGGGGTTGAAGGTTCAAACGTAGGCTTAGGGTTTAGGGTTCCATTCTAGGGTTTAGGGTTTAGGGTTCTGTAGTACGGTCTATGTTGGGACTCTGCTACTGGTAAGGCTATGGTAGCCTGAGGTAGGCTCTCGCGGCGAGAAGTCGATGCTGCAAGCTGACAAAGTACGACTGCTTAAAGAATCGTAGGACTTAGCAACTAGGGTCATTATTAAGGAAACTATACTCAGTATTAATTATTACGTATAACCCAATTATGGTACTTGTAACCATAATTACTAAGTCCCTGATCCTCCAAGTGAGGTCCTGCTTAAAAGCCTTACAGGAAAAGCAGAAAACTTTGCTAGCCAGCAAAGCAGCTGCTGCGTCTGCATCTGCTGAGCCAACTGCTGCGGCATTTGCTGAAGCGGCATTTGCTGTTGCTGCTGTGGCGGAATCTGCTGCTGCTGTTGCAGTTGCTGCTGCTGCAGCTGCTGCTGTTGGAGCTGCTGCTGCTGCAGCTGCTGCTCCAGCAACTGCTGTTGTGGCATTTGCTGTTGCGGCATTTGCTGCTGCGGCATTTGCTGCTGCGGCATTTGCTGCTGTGGCAACTGCTGCTGCGGCATTTGCTGCTGCTGCATCTGCTGCTGTGGCATCTGCTGCTGTGGCATCTGCTGCTGTGGCATTTGCTGCTGTGGCATCTGCTGCTGCGGCAGTTGCTGTTGCGGCATTTGCTGAGCTTGTGGTTGCTGCATCTGTTGCGGCAACGTTTGTTGACCTACCTGCTGCGGCATCTGTACTTGCATTTGCAATGGCAGCTGCTGCGGCATTTGCTGAATCGGCAGTCCTGGACAGACTTCCGAGAGGTTTGATGGAGGGGCCTGAATAACTAGGCTACAGGGAGGCTGGGGGTGTCTCAAAAAGAAAAGGTACATGGACAGACAGATCGATCGATCTGTCGACGGATCGATAGGTAGATAGATGCATAGATAGGCAGATGTACTATAGGGCCTTGATAATTAGAACAGGGTTTGCGTGTATATTCTACTACAACTGTATTTAATTATAATAAGGAACCCCAAAACCGCATTCTAATTTTTCAGGCCCTTACCATACAACCACTTCCTCGGCTGCCACCGCCGTCGTCCAGATTCTAGCCAGGCTCAATGCAACTGAAGCATCGTGTTGCGTAGAAAAACCTCTGCAACAACGTCCTCATGCAAACTCTACTTCATATCCTGAACTCTCAGCCCTGAACCTTAAGCCCTTAAGCCACTAAATGGCAAGTTTCCTTAAATTCGGGTCCCTGGTTAGGTCCCCAAACCAGTACGGCAGCCTCATAAAGAGGACCCTACCTGAAGGAACAAATAACCCTTGAAAGTAGGGGCCCTATGCCCACACACTATGAATCCCTATATGGTATATGAACCTTAAACCCTTTAGGGTTCATTTCATATATGCGGGACCCTAAATTAGCGAAGCACCCAGATCCTGGAACTTAACAAAACCAGGGCCTTGCACGAAGGCGCCCATCTGAGGGGCAGGTAGCATGTTCGCGATACCTGTCGTTTAGGGTAAGGGCTTAGTTCAGTCTCTGTGGCTCTGAGTTTAATGTTTTTGGGATTAGGGTTTCAAGGCTTGCGGTTTAGGGGATTTTCGGCTGAGGCTAGGGTTTATGGTTTGGGCTTTTAGGCTCGTTTTGGCACTTTTTCGTGCACGGGTTTGAGCTTTAGGGCTTCGGATTTAGCGCTTAGTGAAATGGCCTTGATAATTAGAATAGGGTCATTATACTATATTATAACTCTATAGAGACTCCCCGAGCACACTGTTGCTAATTGCTCAACCCCATACTAGGGTTGTCGGCTGTTTAAGGCTTGAACCGTTCAGGGCTCGAGGTTTTCAGGTTCGGCGTTGAGAGGTTGGGGCGTTGAAGGTTGAGCAGGTGTAGAGTTGGGGGCTTACTTGGTGGATCATGTGACTTGCAACTGTGCCTCAGTTGCATACCCTACCTGGTGCTATCCTACTTACAGCCTGCCCTCGTAGCTGCCTTCTTGCTCATGCTTCCTTCTTATACACTTGAAAGACAAGTGCTTTGGGATGCTGTAGCGCTGAGGGTTTCGCGTTTGAGGCGAGTGAGCTGCCTGACACTAAACACGCAAAGCTTTCGTAGACCCTGCCCGCGATAAGCCTTAAGCCCCTCAAAGCTCTTAGGAGCCTCAAGCTTAAGAGCCCTACTGTTGATGATAAAGATCCTGCATTACCCACAATAAGGAATATACCATAATTCCCATAGTTTAGGGTCCTTAAGGTAATGCAGGATTTATATCATCAACCGTATCAGCCTCTTCGCAATACATGCAGAACTGTAAGGGCCTTGGTAATTAGAATAGGGTTCCTTTAGAGTTTAGAGGGGTCTACAAGAGTTACTATAGGGGATCTATACTTGAGTTCTATAATGTAAGGGCCTTAAAAATTAGAATAAGAAACCCGAACCCCTCCACAAAAACGAAACTCCGACGCCCGTCGTCCTTGCATGTTCTGCACGTTCTGATATCTGGGAGAGCCCATTAGCCTGGGAAACAGGGCTTAGCCTGAAGTTTTGGGGCGTTTCATGAGGGTTTGAGGATCGGGGTGTCAGGACTTGTTCTGTGGTTCTTTAGAATTCTGAAGAATGTCTGCAAGAGATCTGGAAAGCTTCTTCTGAGGGGCTGGAGGGACGTTAAAACTAGCTGATGGTTGGGATGGGATTCAAAATGCACATCTTTATTCCTTAATATTATTGGGGTTAAGTACCCATGAAAATCTAAACTGTTACTCAACTATGACAAAGAAAAAGGCTCCGTGCTTTAAGGCTTCGGGCGTTACAGGGATTTAAAGCTGAATTCCTAGCCCCAAAACCCTACACCGCGTAAACCCTGCAAAGACTGTAAACCCTAACAAACTAAACTCTGAAGCCCTAAACCCTAAAACGCTAAACCCTAAAGCCCTCTTCCTTTCTCTGTGTACCTGGTTTTTCTTATAGGGCTCTGACGACGGGTTGATTAGCCAAACAGGAACTACGATGGAGACTGTGGGATCTGCTGGTAAGGGGACTCCTACATGCTACTATTTTTGGGGGTTCCTTATTGTATGGTAAAATATACCCCCAAACCCTATTCTAATTGGTAAGGCCCTATATTAGACTACACCCGAAAGATGTTAAGGGACTATGGATGCTTCAAGAGGACTTCATAAGTTTTGCAGGTGACCCCATTTCTTGCAATGAGAGCCGGACATCCACGCTGGAGATGAGGTCGCAGTGGCAAAGAATCACTACAGCACAACCCCGCGCCCTGGAAACTCATGGTGGGTGATTCCCCGCTGAAAACCCGCTCCCTCAACCTCCTGCGAACACCCTTCGCCAAGAACGACCGGACATCTGTTACCCAAAGGGTCCAAGTACCCAAATACCAAGGTTTCAAGGTCCAAAAACCATTCCCAGTACGGATTTGGGGGCCAAAAACCCTACTATTTGGGCACTCGTGGCTTAGGGTCTAGGGTCCAGCTTTTCAGACCCTTATCTGCCCCGCCATTATTGGACGTGCGGGATGCTAAAACCACTTACCCCACACCCATAGTAGCCCTACAACAACTTTATAGCAACTGTATAGGTAACGCTTACAGACTTGCAACAACCGTATAGTAACCCTGTAATAAGTTTACAGACCTAAACCACGAAACTGCGAATCCACAACATGAGCTCAAGTGAACACATGCCCTGAACGTGCAAGTCCTGGCGCTTCTGTCCCCTACACCAGCCATGGAACACACCCGCCGTGCTGCTGGGGTTGGCCCTGCGCTCGAGGTGTCTTGGGCTTCGGTTTTGGAGTTGGTGTGATATCAGGGCCTCAATCATCAGAATAGGGTTAGAGGTCTCTTTGAGGGGTTTGTACTGTAGTTACGGTGCATGGGACATCCGAATAGAGCTTTAGGGTATACTTTGGTATACTTACAACAGGAACCGCAAGGAAGCTTCTAAATTGGTTTCTGGCGTTTGGGTTGTGTTCCTGTGGTCTCTCTGAATGCCCTACGCCCTAAACCCTTTGCTTTGTTTTGTTTGGATGGGAAGTAAAGCAACCTTACTTTCTCTTTATGGTGCATAACATAAGATGACATTATCTCTCATCTGTTCTCGTCATATTCATATATATATATATATATATATATGTATATATATACACACACATTGTACAGTAATGTACATTATGCTACATCATACTGTAGTATGTTGAATTTCAATATGTTATGACATATTGTGTTAATACATTTTACTAATGCAACGATATATATATATATATATATATATATATGTGTATGTATATATATATATATATATATTTTAAGTATGCTATATTCTGCTGTATCATGTCATATGATGCTATACTGTGTCATATTGTGCTATGATATGCTGCACTACGTTGTATCATGTTTTTCAGTGTTATACTGCGCGGTAATAGACTATGCAAATTTGCACCACTCTCTACTCTCTCTAGCTCTATACTTTTTATACTGCATTGTACTAGGCTGCATCACGTTATGTCACATGGTCTCATGTGTATTACAATTTACTGTATTGTACTATGTTATCACATACTAGGTTATGCTAAACTGTGCGATATTAAACTCCTCTACTCTAATAAATTTGACTGGTCGTATACTGTATGATATTATGTTATGCTGTATTGCCACTGTATTGCCCTATCTTAAGGCGAATGATGCCAAATAAGGGTCATCTCCCTAGGCCTTGAATCTTATACCCAAGGATCTATAGTCTCCTTAGGAATTGTTTTTTTGTAATTTTTGTTCATTTACAACCCAAAAGAATATTAAAACTAATATTTGTTTATGGTTCTAGGGGGGGTATAGCGATTTTGCCCGGGCGTCCCAGCAGAAAAGACTTCGGGGCACAAAGCAAAAGATCGGAAGTGTGATACAGGTGAACAGATCAGAATACCATGGAATGACATGCCAGATTCACCAGATAAGATAAGATTTGCTGGTAGCCTCGACCCAAGACAGCGCTACCACTGCATTCAAAGGACAGAGCCACAGCACGTCAGGGTTTAGGTTCAGGGGTTAGGGTTTCGGGCTTCGCTTAGGCGGAGCATCTGCACAGAGCCCAGAGGTATCGTGTTGAAGCCACTGGTCAGACTTCAACAGGGGTAACGGTAGGTCGCTGCAGAAGGCCAAAAAAGATATAGAGGTCTCAGAGACAATATAGGGTTTACGGTTTTGGGCATCCGAATACGCGCCACAATCAGTGGATGAGAGAGAGACCCCTTCATGTTCGAAAACCCTGTTCCAGGCTTGCTTCAACTTGCCCACTCATAGCCCACAACCTATAGCCGTCAAAAAACGGAGGCTTTTGTAGGTCCCGGGCCCTTTGAGCAAGTTCTTGGATTTCCGGCGAGACTGCGTGGGCTTCGATGAGGTGATCTCTGGCAAGCTATCCTCGGAGGGCGGGTTCGGGGTCAGGTCCCTTAAGGGGACGCACTTAAAGGATCATGGTGCTTAGTAGGGCTATTATTAAGGTAACTATACGCATAAGTACTTATAACCCCAACTAACTAAGGTGCTCATAACCATACTTACTAAGTCCCATGATCCTCCAAGTAGGGTTCCTTTGAAGGGATCTATAGGGCTCTGTAATAAGGATACTGTAGGGTTCTATAACAGGGTTCCCTTTAAGGGCTCTATAACAGGGTTCCATTTAAGGGTACTGTAGGGTTCCACAAGAGGGCTCCTTTTCTATACGGGAACTACGGAGTACTTAAAGGATCATGGAGTCTGGTAATCAGGATTGTGATTAAGGTAGCTATACTTTTCTCTGCCTGTAACCCCAATTGAGGTACTTACAAACCATACGTACTAAGCCCCATGATCCGGCAAGCATGGCCTAGACCCTCCATCTACCCTCGATTAGACCCTAAATGCCCCTTATTTGGGACCATATACCCCTATTTGAGGGTACAAGGAGGGTTGGGGTGTCTTAGGGCTGAAACCTACCCGAAACCGGAGCCCTCTGCCCTAAAGCCCCAAAACCCCCAAGCCAAACCCAAATCTCTGCACCATTGAGGCCCCTATATAAAACAAGACTGTAGAGCCCATACAAAAACACGCACACAGACACACACACACACACACACACACACACAAAAGGAAAACAAAAACCTATAAAACTCGTAAGACAAAGCACTATTCATTGTACCTCCCGTCTGTTACCCTTTAGACAACCTAAACCAGTCCTAACAAAATCTTCCGAATATACGATGACCAAAAACTATGCCCTGCTTAAATACGGTCGAGCTTCTGAGGTGGAGACCTGCCTTAAGATGCGCTCCTCTGGGAGGCTTGGCAAGCCCACCTTCAGTTGATGATATGGGTGGTTGTCAAAATTAGGGACCCTGTTTGGGTTCCGATTATAATGCGGCACCTTAGATTTAGGGTACCCATGACCGTTAGGACTCTAAACTATGGGAATTATGGCATACTCCGTATAATGGGTATTGCAGGTTTTTTTGTCCATCAGCAGTATAAATCCTGCATTACCTTAATGACCCTAAAATGATCCAAGACTATAGGGATTCTGGTATATATGTTCCCTATCATGAGAAATGCAGGATTTATATCCTCAAACGTCTCAGGGCTGCGTTCGGAGCTTCGGTTCAGGGGGTTTTGGGCTGTGGTGCTTACGGGTTTCGGGGTTTCGGGCTTTAGGGGTTTAAGGGTTAAAGGTTTAGGGTGTGGGGGCTTCCGTTTGAGGGTTTCGGGTTTAGGGTTCAAGGGTTGCAGGGTCTCGATGATTTGCCGTTTGGGGTTTGGCAATTGGTGCCTTGCAGCTGTTTGCAGTCCAGGGCTTGTGGGCTGTTGCATCTTCGGGGGTTGAGGTTGCCCAGAGGGATCCCCCGATAATCTTATCAAATGCACTCTCTGGATTTACAAGGCGGTAGAGGGTAAGGGTGCAAATACCGCTTGCCAAAGCTTGTGGTGGTCTCTAAGTGACCCAGGCCGAGGGACGGGGGATAAGCAGAACGGAAACTCTAAACCTTATACCTGAAATTGAACCCCAAGAAATCTAAATTGCGAAACCCCACACCCTAACCCCCAAAACCTAACACCTGGACCACCAAAACTCCAACACCCTTTTCGAGGCTCTTTAAAGTAAGTGCCGGGATTCCCTATACATTGCCGTTGAGGATTGAGGCTTTTGTGCTTCTACTGTAGGGGGTTTGGGGTTCGGGTGAGGACTCTCCCTAGATTGTCTTCTTGGTACGCCTGCACCCCAAAGCTAAACCGTAAACTACTAACCCCCACCCCTGCATAACCCCTAAACCCTACCTAAAGCGAACCTTCCCGCCCCAAAACCCTAAAATCAAATCGTACCAAAAAACGGCAAACAACAAGCATTGACAGACCTAACACTATCCCACATTCAGGACTCACCGGCGAATAATCACAGACGACACACCCCTAAACCCTAAACTCTAAACCCCTAAACCCTGTTGTAGATCCCTTTCAGGAACCCTTAGAAATCCCTTTACAGGAATCCAGGACCTCTAAAACCCCGCTGGCACTGTCTCTAGACCGCCTCGTCTCTAGAAGAGGACGCTGGCGCAGGCATGGTGGACATACGAGACCACATGCTGTCCTCGGGCTTTGAAGACTTAGTTGCTGAGTTTGTTAGTCTCCAAAAGTGAAAAAAACACTTTCGGTTCTATAAGGGGCTCTATTATGCCAAAAAGTGTAAAGTGCACTCACTCAGCTGCTTAGAAGAGGGGTTTAGGGTTTACGTGTTTGGGGGCTGTTAAGAAGGGCTTGCGGTTCAGGGCTTCTCTGATAATGCTGTCCTACGGCTTGTCTAAGGCTTGTTGTTGTGTGTAGGGTTTCTTGGCTTGAGGGTTTAGGGGTTTAGGTGTAGGGCTTGTTTAGGACTTTCATTGGGCGGGGCGTCCGGGGTGTTGCAGATCTTCCGGGGCTTCATGGGCTGTGATGGTTTGGGGCCGGGGATCAAACCGACTGAGATCGGAGGCCATCGGTGCTTTGAGTATGTTGCGGGTAGGGATTTTAGGTGCTCGGATTTCTGCTTGAGGATATTGGGAGGGTTTGGGCTTTAGGCGTTCGGATTTGTGGTTTGGGAGCTTTGGGACAAGTGTGGGCATCAGGTTCGTCATGCTTTCCGGTATCAGGAGAGGCTGTCCGCGACCCAACTCGACGCGTATAAACTTAACCCCTTAAGCCCTAAACCCACCCCCCCCCCCCCCACAGCCCTCCTAAGCCCCCTAACGCGAGAATAACCCATGTTTTTGCGCAGGAGGCTATTAATACCCTAAACCCTAAACCCTAAACCCCTAAACCCCTAAACCCTGAACCCTAAACCCTAAACCCCTAAACCCTAAGCCCTAAACCCTAAGCCCTAAGCCCTAAACCCTAAACCCTATAGGAGCCTTGAAGCTCCGACTTGCATTCCTAACATCGAAGGGTAAAAGGACGATGCCCAGCTAACCTAGGAATAAATTGGGATAGGGGGCTTAGGGTTTTTTTTGAAGGTGCACTGGCTCTTTCTCCGCAGACTTGCAAGGGTTTAGGGTTAGACGTTCAAGGGTTTAGGGTTTAGGAACAAAAAGGGCTCCCTGTTTCGTATTGGGTAGCTTTATAAGGAACCTAGGACTACAAAAAGGGAAGAAAGGTACTACTGAGCATCCTCGGCGGAAGGAGGGACCCCTAGGTATATAACCTTGGTACAGCTATAACATACTATCCTTGGATAAGATCAAGGCCTGAATAAGAAAGCAACAACAAACAATACACAATTAGTGTTTTGGGGGTTTGGGGGTTTAGGGGTTTAAGGGTTTAGGGTTTAAGGGCTTAGGGTTTAAGGGTTTAGGGTTTGGGGTTTAGGTCTTCGGAAAAAGTGCTGAGAACAATACGCAGTTTGTCCTAAGGATTCCTGAACAGAACACTACACAAATTGTCCTGAAGTGGTCCTATGTGCATGAAGTATCAGGTACTAACCCTAAACCCTCAACCCTACACCCTAAACTATACTGACCAGATCCTAGACTCCAACCCTAAGCTATAATATGGGTTAAGGTTCAAACTTCAGGAGTTAGTAGGGTTTAGGGCCTACGGCTCGGTGCTTTTCAGAGTCAAGTTTAGCTAGGCGGGGCTTTTACAGCTGTTGAAATCTATTCGTAAGTAAGACCCTCTTAAGCCCAATAAACGGGAAACATAAAATGTCCCAAAGCCCTACCTACGGTTGATGATATAAATCCTGCATTACCCATAATGAGAAATATACCATAATTCCCATAGTCTAGGGTTATGAAGGCAATGCATGATTTCTATCATCAACCGTAGCTTGGGTTTAGGGTGTAGTTGGTGCAGACGAGTCTCGTCGAAGAAGTCATCATCATCCTCCTGGACAGCAACTGAAATTGCGTGTTTGGGCTCTTATGGTTTAGGGGTTTAAGGTTTAGGGGTCTAGGGTTTAGGGTTCCTTTTCGAGGGATCTATAGGGTTTAGGGTTTAGGAGTTTTTGGCTCTTATCTTAGGGCCTGAGTATCCTAGCCTAAACAAAAGGTTAACCTTGTCAATTATGGTGGGATTGTATATACCCCACAGGGATAAAGGTTCTCTACTTCTAAAGCCTTTGAAAACTATTAGTAGGTAAGATCCTCTTAAGCCCAATAGGAGCAAATACAAAATGTCCCAAAGCTAGTTACGACGGTTGATGATATAAATCCTGCATTACCCATAAAAAGGAATATACCATAATTCCCGTAGTTTCGGGCCCTTAAGGCAATGCAGGATTTATATCATCAACAGTAAGTCGTTATCGACTTTGAAGTATTTCCGGCTTCGGGCTCAGGCCCTGGAGTTGATGTTTGGAGGTCTTGAGGGTTCAGGGTAGGCTGGAGGGCAGGGAGCTGAACTTAGCTTCGGGCTTTGAAACCTGTAAACTCTAAACCCTCAACCCGAAACTTTAAACCCCTACACCCTGAACCCTATCTACCTGAAGGTTTGCAGGTTCACCGGGTCCGACATGGCCACAAGGTGACCGCAGCTAGCCTGGAACTCCCTTGTCTCGGCATTTCATGTGCACAACACGATACCCACGAGATTTGCGGCACTCGCCGGCCAGGGCCCGGGAAAGGGTCGGGCTGTTCGCACACAGCTCTTGCCATGGCCGCCCGGGGGGTTCCTGACCACGAAGCCGCGAAAGGCGAACAACATGGCCTCCTCCAGCCGTGCCTCGTGCTGTATGGCTACGACCTGGAAGCTCGCGGAACGACGTAGCTCTCACAGCACTGGAATGCCAGGATCGGCATCGCTGGCCTTGCTCAGCTGGCCTTTTAGCTTGGGGATCTAAGGACTCACATATTATGGCTTTTGGGCCCAAAGACCATACTATATAAGGCTTTTGTGCTATTTTGATGCTCTCAGTTTAGGATTTTAAGCTTTTAGGGCTTGAGGGTTTTAGGGTTTTAGGCTTTTAGGGCTTTAGGGTTTTAGGATTTTAGGGCTTTAGGGATGGCCTTGCTCAGCTGGCCTTTGATGTCCGTGCCTAGCTGTTTCTGAGCCTTGGGTCCAGGCCTGGGAGACAAGCGATTTTGGAAGACGTTCGCCATCCTCCGAGCCCGTGCCAGCTCCTCCTATCATCATTATTATTATTATTATCATTATTATTATTATTGAATTTGTTATTTCATTTCTATTTTTTATTATGATGATGATTATTATTGTTATTATTATTGCTACTGTGATTATGCCTACTAGTATTACTCTATATGGCTAAGATTACTGTAATTGCTATTACTGTTCTTTCATTCCAGGAAGTCAATTCTCGCACATCGCCGTGGATGACGGAAGGCGACAACAAACCCTCCAGAACTTTGACCTTGAGAACCCTGGAAACAGCTGCTTCAACCTCGTGGACCCACCCCACGCTCAAATAGTAGGAGTCCTGGTATAGCCTTTAGGGGTGCAGCGTTTAGGTTAAGGGCGGTGATACGGCTGCTACATTATGGGCGTAGGATTTAAGTGTTCAGGAGATTTGGGTTTTGCGGCTTGAGAGGGGGGGGGGTTGAGGGTTGAGGGTTGCATCAGGGTTCGTAGGGTGTATTGCGGTTTACGACTTGGGGGTGTTCAAGGTCCTGGTCACCGAGAGGAAACCAAACATCCGCTAGTTTTGCTTACAAAGAGTATACTTGGAGGGGCAGGGGACTTAGTAAGTAGATTATAAGTAGAGTTATAAGTGCCCTAAATGGACTTACCCCACTTACTAAGTCCCCTGCCACTCCAAGTATACCTTGGCCTTAAAGTAGTCCCTTTTTGGGGTATATCGGGCCGGAAGTTCCTACTACTTGCTTAAAATGCACGAATATTCCTTAAATCATATTATATCGTGATCCTGCTTTAGTTTAAAGCATATTCCTTTAATAAGTGAGTTGGAAGGTCTGGGCCCCCTCCACCCCACCAGCCTCCTCTGTCATGTCGGCCCAATTCGGATGCTCGGGCTGATCCTTCTGACCTCGTCTCTGCACTAAACTTTTAAGGGATCTAACAGGGTTCCTTTCAAGAGGGATCTATAACAGGGTTCAGGGTTCAGAGTTTAGGAAGGGTTTTCAAAGCTCTTAAGGGTTTAGGGTTTCAGGAGCCTCTAAGTGTTATTCTTAAAGCTTTTAGGGCTTTAAGGGGCGTTGAAGGGTTTCGGGTTTCGAGGTTTGTGCATTTGGTACTTGGGGCCTTAACTGGAGGTCATGGGGCCTTGGTGAGTTGAAGTTAACATCGGTCCAAGTACCCAATATCATATACTTATAGGGACCCTTACGGGGGTAGGGGGAGAGGGGGGTAGGGGGCCTTAATGTCAAAAAGAAGGACCTACTAAGGCCTATTTAAAGAATTATAGCTCCCTACCCCCCTTCCCCCCAACCCGCCCAAAAATTCCCTATGATATACTCTCCGAAATCCTAACCTACGTAACTACTATCCTAAAACCGAGTACCTTATTGTTGAGTCCTTTGGACCCTTGGGGGTCATTGATCCCACACCCTGGGCTGAGGGTGTTGAACGTTTGTAAAGGGTTTGGGGCTCAGGGCTTCCTTGGGGCTTTAGGGTTTTTAGGGTTTTTAGGGTTTATGTAGGGGTTTAGGGTTTTAAGGTTTAGGGGTTTAGGGTTTTAAGGTTTAGGGGTTTAGGGCTTTAGGGGTGTAGGGGTTTAGGGTTTTAAGGTTCAGGGGTTTAGGGGTTTAGGGTCTAGGGTGTAGGAGCAGCTCGCACTTCAGAGAAACATGAACCCAGGGAGTATGGTCAAAGATTTAACGTGCCCATGTCGCCCTACACCCCTTCTCCCAAACAAGGACAACTACATCAGATCATCACCCAACCCTCACAAAGATTGGTGGCTGCAAAAACTTCTAAACCCCCAGACCCTAAACCCCTAAACTCCAAACCCCCAAACCCTAAACCCCTATATAAACTCTCAACCCGGCAACCCTAGTCCCCAAATCCCCAAATCCCTAAACCCCTCTTAAGGATCCGATCCCCCGTGTTCATACCCGGTACTTAGAGGATCATGGGACTTAGTAAGTATGGTAGTTATAAGTACCTTAACTGTGGTAAAAAGCAAATAGAAGTATAGTTACCCGAATCGTGGCCCTAGTCCCATGAGCCTTCAAGTAGACCCTAAAAACCCCGTTATATAGAACTCCTATAGATCCCTTTAAAAGGAGCCCTTTAGGGAACCCTAGCTACTAAGTAAGTTCCCCCCCCTTTGCCTGCTTTGGACTCTGCCCCAAATGGCTTCAATGGAAGCTCTTGTCCTCGGTACGACGCGGTGCTTCGGGGGCCTCTGAAGATCCAAGAGAGTGCGTGACCTGTTAATTAAGGAATACCGAGGGCCTATAGGGCTCCTTTAAGGGATCTTTAGGGTTTAGGGTTGAGGGGATGCAAATACCCCTCAATTAAGGAATATAGCTTAAATCATAATATGAATCCCCATACAATTTAGGCCATACCCCGTAATTAAGGAATATAGCTTAAATCATAATATGAATCCCGAAATAATTCATGCCATATTCCTTAATTAAGGGGTATTGGGCTCTCTGGGATGGGCTTGGGGGTTCCTTAAAGGGTCCCTTAAAGGGATCCGTAATGGTTCTATAGGGCTTATAGGGTTTGGGGGTTTGGGGCGTACTCGGAGGGGCAGGGGAGCTTGATAAATAGGGTTATAAGTAGGATTATAATTGGGGTAACTCCATGTAGGGTACTTATAACTCTACTTATAACCAGACTTACCAAGTCCCCTGCCCTCCAAGTAGGGTGCTATAATGTAGCAGCCTCAATAATTAGAAAAGGGCTTTGGGGTTTACTTTTATACAACTTTAATAAGGAATCCCGCAAAATGGCATACCGAACCCTATCTGGAGGATCGTGGGCCTTCGTAAGTATGGTTATACGTACCTGAATTGGGGTTATCAGTAGTGAAAAGTTTAGTTACCCGAATAATCACCGTAAGAACTAAGTCCCATGATCCCTTTAAGTAGGGTTTATTTGGGGGTTAGGGTTTAGGGTTCTGGGTTCTGTGAGGGTTACAGGGATTCTGTGTTTTTTAGGGTGTTTCTCTGTTCCTCCTTTCCAAGTGGTTTCAACTACCACGGCTGCATAGGGATTATGAGGCTTCGGGTTCGGGATTACGGGATCTTCTAAATTACAAGGTCTATAATATAGTGGTCGCTCTCATGTGTTTTTAAGAGCACTGTACTTCTGTAAGGGTACTATTATATGTATATATATATATATATATATATATATGGGACATATTGGGGCTTCGGGTTCCTTGAAGTTCAAGGGATACGCAAAAACCCTAAACCCCTCCCCACAACCTGGAACAAAGCCGTTAAGACATAAAGCTCTTACTTACCTTTTGAAGCCCTAACGCCACCCAAAAAAGCAAACCCCAAAAGAAAGCCCTTCTGAAGCGCACTAAAAATCGATTCGAAAGGCCCAGGTTAGACCCGAAACCCTAAAGCCAAAGAGCGAAACGAACCGCGAAACCCATATGAACCCGCTTTCAAAATGCTCCAGGAACACGAAGCCCTGTAAAGATCCCTCATATAACATGGGGGTGGTTGTCAAAATTAGGGTCCCGCTTTGAGTCCCTATGATAGTACGGCACCTATTATTTAGGGCACCCACAAAAAACCCTAATTTTGACAACCACCCATAGAAATCCTGCAGGACTCCTTCTAGAACCTGTATTGAGGAGCCCTTTGAAGGAACCCGTCCTCAAGAGAGCGGGATAAGCCTAGGCAGCCTAGACCCTATAAAATCCTAACCCCTAAGCCCTAAAAAACCCTAAACCCTGAATACCAAAAAACCCTAAACCCTAAATACCCTCAACAGCCTCTTTCATTATTCAAACCTGATTACAGTTTTGGTCCATCTGGGCCTAACGGTATTACACCCGGAGCTGCTGAAGCCTAAACCCTAAACCCTAAAAGACCCCAAACCCTTCGTTCCGAAACCTTCAAGGGACCTTTAAAGGGATCCGTAATGGTTCTATAGGGCTTATAGGGTTTGGGGGTTTAAGGCGTTCTTGGAGGGGCAGGGGACTTAGTAAGTAGGTTATAAGTAGGATTATGATCGGGGTAAGTCCATTCAGGGTACTTATAACTCTACTTATAACCTACTTACTAAGTGCGCTGCCCCTCCAAGTATGAAAGCAAAGGAGCCCAAAGCCTTCCTTCTAAAGGAAACCCTGCCTTCATCAACAAAGCCCTAAGCCCCTCGTTTTCAAAAAGGGCACCCCGAGATCCCAACACCCCTCAATTCAGGAATATACGTTGAACCATAATACTTAGCCCCCTACTTAAGGTATATCCTAGAATTAAGGAATATACCGGAAATCATAACATTAAGCCAGCTTCAGGTGTATTCCTTAACCAGGGGGTATTGGGATCTCAAGGCAGGGGAGAATCCGACGGCCCTGGGCCCTCAACCTTGGACCCTAAAACCTTTTAAAGCCTTCGAAAAATATTAGTAGGTAAGATCTTCTTAAGCCCAATAAGAGCAAATATAAAATGTCCCAAAGCCCTACCTAGTAACCAATTGCAAGGGAAGCACCCACCACCCACCACAGCCTTCCAAGGAGCCCTTTTAAAGGAACCCTTCACTTATAAACCCTCAACCCTTCGTTAAAGCAAGGGAGCCCACCGCCGGGGGCATGGTGATCGACCTTCCCCAGGTCGGCGCGTGCTCGTTGATGAGGTCCCCGTCGGAGTCGTCTTCCTGAGCTTCAAAGAGGGAAGCTCGGGGTTTTTGGGGGTTTAGGGTTTGGATCTATGGGGGTTTGAAAAGGGTCACTCTTTAAGAGGGGCTTAGGATCTATGGGGGCTTGAAAAGGGTCACTCTTGAAGAGGGGTTTAGGATCTATGGGGGCTTGATACGGGTCACTCTTTAAGGGGGGTTTAGGGGTTCAGGGGTTTAGGGGCTTTAGGGTTTAGTCGTCTTCCTGGGCTTCAAAGGGTTTAGGGGATCGATAAGGGGCCCTTTAAAATCATCTACAAGGGTTCCTTAAAGGGATCTCTAATAGGGTTTAGGGTCAAGGGTTCAGGGTGTTTAGTGGTTTACGGTTTGACGGGTTTGGGGCTTTCAGGGTTTAGGGTTTTTAGAGCGTCAGGCTTCATAAGAGCTCACAGTTTGTAGGATTTTCGTAGGGTTTCTACAGGGGTTTCTTGCAGGCCTTTACAGGGTGGTTGCAAGGCTTCATGGGCTTTTGTAGGGCATCTTAGGGTTCTTGACAAGATTTCATAGGGTGTTGCTGTAGAGTGTCGTTCTCTATCGGGCTTTTTCTACTTTTCTTGCACATGGCTAGTTCTCTAAGTTAGGGTCATTTTTGGTTCCTTTAAAAGGGATCTGTAATGGTTCTCTTTGCCTTTCCTGGCTGGCATTTCCTTTGGGTCTTGTTTTTTTATCCTAGCAAAATATCAAACAAAAATAACAACATCTCAGAGAATAGATTAAAAAGGTGCAAAAAAGGCTGTTTATTTCAAACTAAATTTTGAATCGGGAATGATTGCAGCTATGAAAACTTCATAGGGCCACAGGGTTCTGAAAAGATTCTCATGGAGCATGTAGAAGGCCTCATAAGGATCGCTAGAGGTTGTCATAGGTTTCTTCAGGGCTTCGTATTTCGCTTACCAAAGGGCTTCATAGGGCTTTGTAGGACTTCGTAGGGCGTTGATTCGTTTTAGCTGCTTTTGATAAGTCTAAGGGCTCTACACGATAGTCTTTTTTCAGCACAGGGCTTACGGCTTACTTTGTGCTGGGGCCGCATGAAATTTTCCAACGAACACCTAGCCAAGTCAGATGTTGGTTGGTCTGTGCACGACAGCGCTATGCCAGAGTACTTTCCATACCAATGCTGAGGCGTGCCATTGGATAGTTCTCTCAATCAGGGTCCCTTTTGGGGCCTTTTTGCAAGGATGCCGTATAATCTTGTGACCGACAAGGGACCCTAATTTAGAGAACTACCCCATTTCACCTGAATCAAAGATCATTCTCGAGAACGCTTTGAACGGCTGTGGCAGTCTGGTTGGGTTAGGTTCGTTTAGCTGCCTCTTGACAGCAACGTCCTCTCCCGATTTGGGTAAATCTCTACATTAGGATCCCTTTTCAGGTCGGTTTTTACGAAGGTGCCGTACTATATTGGGGACCGCAAAAGGGCCCCTAATTTAGAGAACTTCCCTTACAGTACCGATATAAGCCCTTATAGATCCCTTTGAGGAACTCTAAACGGGATCCGTAATTTAGAGAACTATTATAGATCCCTAAAGGAACCCCATACGGATCCCTTTTAAGGAAACCTTATAGAAACCTTTAAAGGTAGAAAGCACCCTAACTTAACAGGTTTCTTGCGTTCAAGGGGCAAGATCCGACTGGCCGTCCTGGTGAGTAACAGGGCTCTGTATAGACTGTTTAGGGCTTCAGGGGTTTAGGATTCTAAGGCCTTAGGGCTTCAGGGGTTTAGGATTCTAAGGCCTTGGGGCTTTAGGGGTTTAGGGTTCTAAGGCCTTTGGCTTTAGGGGTTTAGGGCTCTAAGGCCTTAGGCCTTTAGGGTTTGGGGCTTAGGGTTTAGGGCCTAGGGCTTTGAGGCTTGAGGGTTTAAGGCTTAGGGTTTTATACCAAGTCACAAGCCCAATACGCCAACATGTTCGGGTGAGAATGACAGAAGTAAAGCCTAAGGAGAAACGAATTAGTGGCCTGTTGTACACAAAATACATAGTTGCTGAGTTCATAGCCCCAAAAACAGTGTACACTTTTGGCTTTAAATTGGGTAATCTTACACCAAAAAGTGTAAAGTGTATCCACTCAGCTACTAAGAAGAAGCTTTTGGAGAAGATGGCCACATACTTTAGTGGGGACCATGAGGGGGGATCAGTATTCGTAACTGTTCCGGCCCATATCATGAACCTTTCAGTAACCCTTGTAGAATCCCTTGCAGACCGCTTGAAAGAAACTCGACCCCTGAACTCTAAACCTTAAACCCTAAACCCGAAACCCTAAACCCCAAACCCTAAACCCGAAACCCTAAACCCTGAACCTTAAACCCTAAACCCTAAACCGGAAACCCGAGAATTCGAGTCGTAGAGAAGAGGGGAAGCCGATCGGTCCTCGTTGCCAGCTAAGTCTGCCGAGCTCTCCTGCCCACCACTCGAAGGGACAGAGTAAGGGACTTAGGGTTTCTTTTAAGGGGCTTAGGGTTTTTGTAAGGGTACTCTAAGGTTCTATCATAGGGACTTAGTAAGTGACTTAGAGGGTCCTCTAGGGTTCTATGATAGGGTTGTATTCACGGGTTCTATAAGGGATCTACACGGTACTTGAAGGGACTTAGTAACCAGGATTCCCTGAAGAGCGCCTTTAAAGGGATCTAGAAGGGTTACCGTGGTGATTACAGTTTCGGATTTAGAGTCAGTTTAGGGTTTGGGGAGGAGGAAGGGACTTAGGGTTCCTTTTATACTGTAGGGTTCTATAATAGGGCCCCCTTCACGGGTTCTATAAGGGATCTACACGGTACTTGAAGGGTCATGGGGCTTAATAAGGGTTCTATAAAGGGAGTTTTAGGGTCTGCTTGAAAGATCATGGGACTGAGTAACTAAGGATATTGTTGGGGTAACTAGACTTAGACTTACTTAAAACGCCAATCAAGGTACCAATAGCTATACTTGTTAAGTCCCATGACCAAGGCACCGTGAGGTTTAGAGTCTCGGATCTAGGGTTCAGGGCTTAAGGTTTACATAGGGTTTAGGGTTTAAGTAGTTTTTTTTAAGTTTCGGGTGCTAAATAATTAGAACAGGGCTTTGGCGCCCATTGTGCTATAACTAGAACAAAGGAACCCCCAGAATCAGTAAAGGTAATCATCAAGGCCCCTATAGTAGGGTTTAGGGTTCAGTTCAGGATATAAGCCTACATGCTTGTCTTTGGGGTTCAGCATTGAGGCCTTAAACCCTATACTAGGGTTAAGGCTTCTGGTTTGGGGCTTTCGGGGGTTTACCGTTTATGCCTTCGCAATTAAACTAGGGCTTGAAGGTACATCACATCGTGGAAGCGTGAAGTGTCGGCCTTAAGATACTAGTCGGAGGATCATGGACTTAGGAAGTATGGTTATAAGTCCCTTAATTGGGGTTATAAGTAATTATAAGTCTAGTTACCTTAATAATATCCCTAGTTACTAAGTCACATGATCCTTTAAGTACACTAGGGCTTAGGCTTTACAGCTAGCCTTGAAGATTCGATGCTGAGGCTCTAGGGCTTGGTTCCGTGGTAGATTACAATATGGGAGTTTCCGAAAAGAGGGGACCCTAATATGGCACCCTAAATAGCAGGATCCTTATAATAATGACCACAAGATAAGGCACCCCTAATTTTCGGAAACTCCCATATGATTACATGGACACTCAGTATATACCATGCGAGTGATGTTACTTGCCTGGTGGATCTGAGATTGGGGGGTGCCAACCCGAGATTGGGGTTTCGGGATGCTGCAGCTTCCCAGAGAGTCCAATACCCCTTAATTAAGGAATATGGCTTAAATTATGTAGGCATTCATATTATGATTAAAGCTATATTCCTTAGTTACGGGGTATTGGGCTCTCTGGGTTCACCGGTGCCAGGGCACTACTATCCTGGAGTCGGCAAACGCAAGCGATTGAAATAGACTTCGCAAGATTCCTCTGATAAGGTCCTTAAGCTGTCGAGTTTCGATGCTCTCCCCGGTCCTTGCGCTGCCGCAGCTCACTCTCGAAATGCGCGTGTCGACAGTTTCGGCCCATCTGACACCGGCCATATCTGAAGAAAGTGCACCTGCAATGGAAAGCTGCTCAAAGGATCATGGGACTTAGTTACTAGAGTTATTCTTACGGTAACTATACTTATAATGACTAATAACCCCAATCAAGGGACTTATAACCATACTTACTAAGTCCCATGATCCTCCAAGTGCGGAACTCTTGAGTGCAGTAGCAACGAGCAAAGTGAGCAGACATCATGTCTGGATGTGGTAGCAGCAACTAGTACTCCCAAGATGTAACCGCAGACAACATTGATCAGTCTGCAGTCGATAAGTAGCAGCCAGAGCCACGGTTTAGACTTCAGAAGCTGAAGATGTAGAAGTGAAGAGTAATCGGTAGCCGTCGTCGCGGTGGTGGTAGCCGTCGTCATCGTTGTGAGCGGTGACCGGCGGTGCTGCTGGCGGCCAGAACAAGGCACTCTGCTCTTCGCAGAACACATGACTTGACACAGGCACGCGAGAAATTAATAGGGCTTTGGCGCCCATTCTACAAGATAATCATTAAGGCCCGTATAGTACACTCATACCCAGAACAAAGTCAGTGTTCTGGCTTGTGAACTGCGAGGCTCAAGGTCTATCATGCTTGCAGTTGCACAGACTGGTAGAAAAACAGAGCAGCAAAAGTAAGTAGAATCGGGTTCCCTTGAAGGGGTATATAATGCTACTATAGGGGTATATAATATGGGTAGTACACACAACACCCTAAACCCCTAAACCCCAAAACCCCTAAAGCCTAAACCCCAAACCCTAAACCAACGTAGCAAGCCTTGCCCTAGCGTGCCCGCCCAGGCACATCGACGTCTTGTAGACATCGTCAGTGCTACGCAGCCTTACGTGACGGTTCAAGGCTCCGTGAACTCAGAGAGAATTTAGGGATTAGGGTTTAGGGATTAGGGTTCAGGGTTTAGGGTCTAGGGCTTATCTAGCACCCTTCTTGGTGAACTTCCCTCCCTGGCAGATGCTTTCGGAGTCTGAACCCTGAACCTGTCAAAGAGAACTACCCATATTATATCCTTATAGTAGCCCTTGTATACCCCTTTAAAGGAACCTGATTCGACTTACTTAGGCCCCTTCTGCTCTACCGTGCACTCGAAAGAACTTTGAATCGCTGCAGCCGAGTGAACTCGTCCCTGCTGTGGGCGAAGGTGCACTTCGGATCGTTGCAGCCTTCTCCTGGGTAGATGTCGGGATCTTTGGGCTTTGGGGTTTAGGGTTTAGGGGTTTAGGGTTTAGGGGTTTAGTTTAAAGGGTTTAGGGTTCAGGGTTTAGGGGCGACCAGATCTACTTGGAGAATCATGGAGCGTAGTAACTGGGGATATTATTCGGGTAACCATACTGACAACTACATATAACTCCGATAAAGGTACTTAGAAACATACTTACTAAGTCCCATGGTCTGCAGGGTAATTGTGATGAGGTCTCAGGGTTGAAGGGGTTGCGATTCAAGGTTCAGCGGAGTCCCAAACGATGCCATCATGACTAATGTAGGGGCCTTCACAATTAGAATACTGTTTATCGGTATATTATACTATGGTTGTAACAATACGGAATCCCCAAAATAGTATTGGTAATTATTGAGGCCTCTACAATATGTCTGCGGCCTTGCTAGCCAAGTTGCCACTCAACATTTTACGGCAAAGTGCCGTCTTGGTGAGATCAGGTTCTTGGTGACGCCTGGGCACAGGCAAAGACCAAGCTAGAAGTGGCCCTAAACCCCATGAAACCCTTATGATTCCCTTGTAGAATCCTTAGAGGGACCCGGAACCCTAAACCTTAAAGGGGTCTAAGCGGCGTCCAAACTCAACGCAAGAGCCCGCGAGCAGTAAATCCAAGCAACGAGGCCCCCGAAGGACAACGTAGAAAAGACACCGCAGCCTACTTAAAGGATCATGGGACGGAGTAACTAGGGTTATTATTAAGGTAACTATACTTATAATTACTTGTAACCCCAATTAAGGGATTATAACCATACTTACTAAGTCCCATGATCCTCCAAGTACAGCCTAACGCCCTATACCTTAGAAGGGGCCCCCACCCTGTAATAGTGACTATAAGGATTATATTCGGGCCCGATTATATTCCTATTATACCGCTATTACAGGGTGGGGGCCCCTTCTCAGCTATACCTCAATAATTGGGTCGAACCCAAGGTGCTCATTCAAGAACACACCGACGCCTCTTCGGCTTTAGAATACAAAAGCAGGACAGAAAAAGATTCACTAAGAGGATACTCGAGGTTTCAAGGCAGTATAGGACAGGACTTGCAGTGAGCCGCCCGTGCGCGGCCTCTAAATCCAAAGCTTGGAAATATGCTAACATAGGGGCCTTCATAATTAGAACAAGGTATTGGAGCCCATTTTGCTGTACTTATAATAAGGAACCCCCAACATAGTATCGGCAATTATTTCGATTGCAAGGATGGTTCCAAAGAGATTCAGGACCTGCTCTCGTGGCTCGGAGCACGATCAGAGTCTGCGAAAGTTTCTAAAGGAGTTTAGGATTTGGGGTTTAGGGCTTAGAAAAGTTTAGGAGTTTGGGAGCTTAGGGTTTAGGATTTGGGGTTTGGGGTTTAGGGTTTGAGGTGGGTGTCTATAGGCTTCCTTTCCGGTCTCGAAAGGAGTTTAGGGTTTAGGGTTTTGGGTTTAGGGTTTGGGAAGGTCTTTGCCGGCCTCGCATGGGAGTTCCAGCACATGCGGGACACTGACATAGAACCCGATCCCGTGCTGTTGATGAACAGCGTGCTGCATATCCCCAGCTCTCCGGGTTCAAGTGACAGCCTAAACCTTAGATAACCCAAAACATAAGCTTAAACCTCAGAAACCTACTATAGATAACCTTTTAAGGACTTCAAGGCTCTCTAAGCCCCAGAATTGTATAAACCCCAGGGCCCCGACTCTGAATCGCCGTGGGCGTATTTGCAACCCGCTCCTCTGAGGCATCGGCCCTGTGACCACAAGAAAGGGATGGGTTGCCTACAAGGATCCCTTGAAGGGGTCCTTAAAGGGATCCTTACAGGGGCTCCCTTAGGGGTTCCTTAAAAGGGGTTCCTTAAAGGGTCCCTTAAAAGGGCCCTTAAAAGGATCATATAAAGGATCCCTTACAGGGCTCCTTGATGGGCTCCTTAAAGGGTCCCTCAAAAGGATCCTATAAAAGGATCCTGAAAAAAGGATCCCTTAAAGGGATCCTTAAAGTTGAAGGATCCTGAAAGGGATGATTAAAGGGGTTCCTTAAAGGGGATCCTTAAAGGGATTCTTTTAAGGGGATCCTTTAAAGGGGTTTTTTAGAGGAGTTTGTTTAAGGGTCTTATTAAAGGGGTTCCTTAAAGGGATCCTTAAAGGGGTTCCTTAAAGGGATCCTTAAAGGGATCCATAATGGTTCTTTAGAGCTTATAGGGTTTAGGGTTTGGGGTTTCGGGTTTAGGTTTGGGGTTTAGGTCTGTCCACTAGAGGAGACACGCGGCTGCAAAGGTTCAGGGCTAAGGGGTTGGGGCTTCGGGTTGAGGGTTTAGGGTTGGGAGTTCAGGGTTGAGGGTTTAGGGTTGAGGGTTTAGGGTTGGGAGTTCAGGGTTGAGGGTTTAGGGTTGAGGGTTTAGGGTTGGGAGTTCAGGGTTGAGGGTTTAGGGTTGAGGGTTTAGGGTTGGGAGTTCAGGGTTGAGGGTTTAGGGTTGAGGGTTTAGGGTTGGGAGTTCAGGGTTGAGGGTTTAGGGTTGAGGGTTTAGGGTTGGGAGTTCAGGGTTGAGGGTTTAGGGTTGAGGGTTTAGGGTTGGGAGTTCAGGGTTGAGGGTTTAGGGTTGAGGGTTTAGGGTTGGGAGTTCAGGGTTGAGGGTTTAGGGTTGAGGGTTTAGGGTTGGGAGTTCAGGGTTGAGGGTTTAGGGTTGAGGGTTTAGGGTTGAGGGATACAGGGATTGTGAAGGGATCTACAAGGGTTCCATGCCGTAAGCCCTTGCGTTCTCGTAGGGCTTTCAGGGTTGAAAGGCCCTTGCAGTGTGCTAACTAAGGATACCAAAGGGTGCTGGGTTTAGGAGGTCGTTTGAAGGTTCTTGCAAGGTTACTATTGGGTTCCTTGGGCTTTCATAAGCTCTAGTGTTTAGAGCTTGGGGTTCTTCAAGGGGTTCCTTTAGGGATCTTTAAGATGCTCCTCGACGCAAACCCCTGAACTCAAAACCCTAACTCAAAATCCCCTAAACCCGAAAAAGTTTAAACTCAGAAACAACCCGAACACCACTTCTGGAACCCCTAGAACCCTTGGAAACCTGAAGCCCATATCTGGACCCATGCCTCTTGCCAGAATGCGCAGATCTTCCTCAGGGTGTATGGTTTAGGGCTTTGGCAGGTCATGGTGGTTATAAGGCCTGACAAACGGGACAAGGTGCTGGGGCATTTTCTAGTCTGGTATGATGATACGGTTGATGGTATAAACCCTGCATTACGCATGATAAGGAATATATAACAGTTCACATAGTTCAGGGTCCTTAGGGTAGTGCAGGATTTATTTCCTCAGCCGTATGGAGACCAGACGAGGGTACTGCTATTCAGACCTGCATATTGGGCTTGAGGGCTGAGGAGGTAAGGCTTATGTAAGGCTTTAGGGCTTGAGAAGTTGATCTCCTAGCCTAAACCCTAGTATCCTTCTAGAAACCCTGGAGAACCTCATGGAAACCCTCATCACACACCCCTAGACCCCAAATGACACCTAAACCACCCAATTCAAGAAGCATAAATCTCAAAGACAACGAAAGCCAACAACAAAGAGCAAGACCCCCAAAAAACACGGAGAGGAAAAACAAGCAAAACAGACCGAACCCCAAACGCAAGCACCCTACGAATGCTGCGGCCAAGAAGCGTTTTGAAGAAGAGCCTTGGCTGTTTGTATTTGTGCGTGTGTTTGGGTTTGGGCTTAGAGCTTAGGGCTTAGGGTTTAGGGTTTAGGGTTTTAGGGTTTAGGGTTTAGGGGTTAAGGGGTTTAGGCTGTTGGGTTTGGGGT